TGACCAAGTAATTTTAAATGTCTTTATTTAAGTATTTCCTATATCTTCCTGTAAAGACTTACATTATTATTATTATTATTATAAGTATAGAAGTATTTATTATGGAAGTCTACAAGAGACATCTGTCTACAATAGACAATCAAAACCAAACTTTATGATGAACCATAAATCATGTCAGTCCTGAAGATACAAAGAGATAACTGTTAACAATGAAATTATATAAAACAATAATATAATTATAACTTAAAATTCTTTCAGGAGAGAAACTGAAAATATGTATAGACTATACTTGTGATATTGTTGAACTTATAATTATTAGTTTATACCATCTAGAATAGATACGTGAAGTTATGGTACCTTACTGGCCATTTAAATTTGTTAATATAAAAAAGAAATGTACCTATGATGTTTAATGTCACTCAATAATAAAATACGATTATATCTGTTTGCATATTTAAATGATCTTTCCTAAACTCTTTATTTACGGACTATATTTATCTTAAAATGGTAGCAGAGTATCGTGTATAATTGCAAAATCGCACGTAACGGTCGATTGCAATTTTTTTTTAAGAGTTATTAACACCAGATTATTTTCGTATACGTGGATAAAAGATTAAACTATAGTTATGACCATGGAAGGAAATACAAAGTTTCAAGTCTTACCACTAAACGAACACAACTGGGTTACATGGAAATTTCAAATAAGACTAGCTCTAAAAGGTCATGGTCTCCTACACGTTGTTGAGAAAGACTTCGTAGAAAAGGATAGAGCTACGACTGCTGAGCTTGAAAAATATGCCAAAGAAGATAGTACAGCATTTCTTATTATAACGACTAATTTGACACAAGAGAATATCATGAAGGTAATGCGTTTTGAAACAGCAAGAGAGGCTTGGCTAGAGTTGCACCGCATTTACGAAGGAGATATAGAAGATCGAGCATTTGATTTAATTATGACATTCTTTAAATTTGTAAAGGAACCTGCTGATAATATTGGCACGTATTTATCCAAACTAAGGAATGTATGGCGAGATCTCTCCCTTGAAATGGAGAAAGAAGGAGTCAAAGAACTACCAGAAATCTTTCTTATGGGTAAAGCTTTAGAAAGCTGTCCGGATGAATATTTCCAGTTTATCTCAAGTTGGAAGCTGTTAGCAAAAAAGGATCGTAGTATAGAGAAATTAACTGTTGATCTATGTTCTTACGAACGAGCATTACAATCTCAAGGGTCCCGAGCTGAAATGGAAGAAGCACTCGCGCTTACCGGAGGTAAATGCAAGTCTAAATTTCATAAAAGGGTAACTGTCAAAGACAAGTCAAAGAAATGTAGTTATTGTGGTCTGAACAATCATTTTGTTAAAGATTGTCGCAAATGGATTGCTGATGGATGTCCATTAACATTAGAAAAACCATCAACGTCAAAACAAGGTAATACTTCCTACAATAATAAATGCAAAGCTAACATGATGCTAATGAGTGTTGAAGTAAACTACACGGGAAACATTGATAAACATCAATGGTATGTCGACAATGGTGCAACTAGCCATGTCACAAACAGGTCAGATGTATTTGAAAATTTTGAACGATTTCAAAACAAGTCACATATAGTAACAACTGCCAATGGACATGCTATTGCTGCTACTGGTAAAGGATCCATAATAGTGGAAGCAGATATTTATGGTAGAAAGCAACTGATAACTTTAAATGATGTTTGGCTTGTTCCAGAAATTTCAAAAAATCTTTTTTCTGTCTTAGCTGCTCAAGATTGGTTGAACGATAGCACATTCATATCAAAAACAAACAACTGCCAATTGATTTTAGATGGAGAACCTGTCCTACTCGGTGAAAGAGAAAAATATGGAGGTCTCTATAAACTAAGATTGCGAAACAAACCATTGAATCCAATCGAAGTAAATATTAATGCAGTTGATACAACAGATATGCTACAGCTCTACCATGAAAGGTTTGTACATCAGAGCAAAGATCATGTAAGAAAAATTGTTGAACGAGAACTGGGCATAAAAATTGTACGTCCTACTCACAGAACCCTATGTGAAGGATGCATCTATGGAAAAACTCATCGTTTGAAATTTGGAACGCGAGAAGGAGCATCAAAGCCAGGCGAACGCATTTATGGTGATGTCTGTGGACCATTTATACTCTCCTATGCCAAATATCGTTACTTCCTATTACTAAAGGATGACTTCTCAAAATATCGCTATCTATTTTTAATTAGAAAGAAAAGTGAAGTCCAAGAGAAGCTGATACAATTTATAGCTCAAGTAAAAGCTACAGGGCACATTATTAAAGAATTCTTCACTGACAATGGAGGTGAATTCGTAAATGATGATGTGAAACGGATTCTACAAAAGGAAGGCATTACGCATAGATGTACTATGCCTCACACACCACAACAGAATGCAACTGAACGTGATAATAGAACAGTTATTGAGGCTGTCAGAGCTATAATGCATACTACTACAAGGGAACTACATGAAAACTTATGGGCTGAAATAACAAGTACTGTTGTTTATGTACTTAACCGTACTGGTCCTACTCATTTGGAGAAAACTCCCTACGAGTTATGGCATGGGAAAAAGCCAAGGATTAAACATTTACGAATTATTGGAAGTCATTGTTATGCACATGTACCAAAGGCGTCACGCAAAAAGCTTGACAAGAAAGCGAAAAAAGGTATTCTTATAGGTTACAATGAGGACGAAGGGTATCGCATTTGGATAGAAAACACTCTGACAGTAATGAACTCCAGAGATGTAATCTTTGAAGAAAAGACATTAAATCCTATAGATGAAAATATAATCCCTACCGAAAGTAATCATGAAGAGAAGACTGCTAAATCAGTGATCATTCCACTTCAAGTCTGTAATGATCCAACTGACTTAAGTCAAGAGCATGACGAGTCGAATGTATCGATTGATTTAACTAACGACTATACACATTCAGATACTACCGAATGCGAACATGATATTGTATCCAATGCAAACATTTTGCCACACATTGATACGAATGAACAAGATACATACGAAGATGATTTATTAAGAGAAGATACCTTATCTCAGGAAGAAATTCGTAATGAAAATCCTCGAGAGGAAAAGAGAATAATTTTAAGAGATCGATCTAAAATGAAAGCTCCTGCGAGATTTGACGAATTTGTTTTACATTGTGTAGAAAGAGTCTATAATCATGAAGAAGAACCAAAGACATTTAAAGATGCGATGAAATCTGCTGATAAAGACAAATGGCGAAAGGCTATGGATGATGAAATTAAATCCCTGAAAGAGAATCAAACATGGGACTTAGTGCCATTACCAAATGGACGTAAAGCTATATCCAGTAAATGGGTTTATAAAATCAAGCGAAACTCTGATGGGTCAACTGACAAATATAAAGCTAGACTTGTTGCTGTTGGGTACTCCCAAAAGAAAGGGATCGATTATGAAAAAACATTTAGTCCCGTCGCAAAAATGAGCACTATCAGAACACTATTAAGCATTGCTGCTCGTGATAATATGATACTCACCCAATTTGACGTCTCTACAGCATTTCTTTATGGAAGCCTAAAAGAAGAAATTTATGTCAAGCAACCTGAAGGGTATGATAATGGAACTAATAACGTATGCAAATTGAAACGTAGCCTATACGGACTGAAACAAGCTCCATTGTGCTGGAACAACTGTATTAAAGATTTCCTTATAGAACAAGGGTATGTACCTGGAGAAGATCCTTGTTTCTTCTCTATGAAGAGGGGAGAAGGTAGGCTACTATTAGCCCTTTATGTTGACGATGGCTTGATAGCTAGTACATCACAAGAGCTGACTAATGAGTTCCTTGAGGCGATAAAGAAACGGTTTAAGATAAAAATCCAAACTAACAAAAATTCTTATTATTTTCTAGGGCTTGAAATAGAAAAGGAGTCTAACTGTATTAAAGTACATCAAGGTGCATACACCAAGAAGGTATTAGAAAGATTTGGTATGCAGAACAGTAAAACTGTTGCTACACCAATAGTGAAAGAGTCTGAATTAAGAGAAGAAGATGGGGATAACACATTTCCTTACAGAGAAGCAGTTGGAGCCCTTGCATATCTTATGGTAGGAACAAGACCTGACATTTCTTATGCGATAGGTGTTGTATCCAGACACTTAGAAGCTCCTACAAAAGCAGACATTACAAGACTGAAACGAATATTTCGTTATTTAAATGGTACAAGGGATTACTATATCACATACAGCCAAGATACGCAGAAAGAATTAATCTGCTATAGCGATGCTGATCATGGTGGAGATCCTAATTCTGGAAGATCGACTTCAGGCCTGGTATGTATTTACGGAGGTCCAATATCATGGAGAAGTCAACTACAGTCGTCGGTGTCAATCTCTAGCACTGAAGCTGAAATAATAGCCGCAAGTGAAGCTGCAAGAGAAATAATATGGCTTAAACGATTTATTGAAAATATAGAGCAATCATCAAAGATTCCTGTTCTTTACTTAGACAATGAATCAGCCATAAAACTTGCATTAAATCCACCCTATGAGTTCCATAACAGAACCAAGCATATTAAGCTAAGACATTTCTTCATACGAGAAGCCATAACTGAAGGAGTTATGAAAATTGCTAAAGTTGGTACTGAATTCCAAATTGCAGATATGTTCACCAAGGCTTTATACAAACCAAGATTGGCAATGCTATGCCGGCTGATTGGTGTACATGCATAGATTCAAGATTTTTTTTTCACAGGAAAGGAACCATCACTTCAAGAGAAGATATTAGTTTATACCATCTAGAATAGATACGTGAAGTTATGGTACCTTACTGGCCATTTAAATTTGTTAATATAAAAAAGAAATGTACCTATGATGTTTAATGTCACTCAATAATAAAATACGATTATATCTGTTTGCATATTTAAATGATCTTTCCTAAACTCTTTATTTACGGACTATATTTATCTTAAAAATAATAGTTTTTTAAATACTCACTTTCTTTTTCGTGGTCAAAACCCACTATAACGAAGTAATCGACGAGTCTGGACATGGCAATCCTACGGCAACATCCGAACACATACACCACAATAACACTGAACAATCTTTTTAATTAAATTTAAACACATTTTATACAAAAAACCACCGACTTCCACATATTCAAATGCAATAGCAAACTCCGTTAAACCACTGTTCGAATATCAAAAGGTACAAGAACCGAACACAATACACTTCATGGAATGTAAACAAGACTTTTATCAAATTCGTGCAATACAATCCCGCAAGTAATTATAAGAAATGTTAAAGACTTGGCCAAATCTATAGGTTATAGCACTGATCACTTGCAAACTGATGATATTTATTAACCAAAAAGAACTGTTACATTATTTTGTAGCTGCCCTTGTGTCAACAAATAATATTTTTTACACTTTCAAGGATAAATCGAATATTTGACATAAATAGCAACCACAATTTGTAAGAACGTAGCCTATCAGACATTTAACAACATTCTACTAAATGCTACTGTTTCAGAAATTCTACTAATATGTTGCCATGACATTGTCATTTTATTTTACTTCTATGCATACTAAAATTACGAAATAGTAATTTATCAAACAAAATGGTATTCAGATATTACACCTCTTATAAGAGACTATAATTACTTAAACGGTTGTTTGATAATTATTTTTAAGAAACGAAAGATACTTTTTTACATTAAAGTTTTACATGGATAAATGACATAAAAGTTTAATTTTGGAACAAAACAAATCAATTAAATGAAAATGTACCAGCGTTATATGCACACAAATCCCGACTGTTGATCCTTATCAATTCAACGGTGCGATACATGAAAATTTACTGGGTTGAAATACCTACTGTGATTAACCAAGCCGGGGACGACTGAGCCGTAAAAGATATTTTTAGGGATACGTAGGTATATTACACTGTTCATTTTCATCATACAAGCAATATGAAACAATGTTTATAGATTGTATTAGTACAATCTATAAACATTGTATCATATTGCTTATTATTCTAAAATAGTATATCATGTAAGACTTTGATAGCAAAAAGTTTTATATTCGTTTTCGTATTATATTCGTCGTAACACTCATAAAATATAACGAAACTCCTTACGATTCTCATTTGTCAAGGTTTTCACGTGTTTCTAGCCATTCTAGAGGTACCGTAATGGTAATATATGAGTGACGATTATGATCTTTAGTCACCATACACTTGCTAGTAAAATATCTCACTAATTGAAAATTAAAACTTGTGTACATTTAGATATAATGTTCCGAAGTACATATTCGCGAAGTAGAAGTCAGAAGGATTGAAAAAGGACACTGTCTAGGTCACAATGTCCTATCTCAAATATAATGCATTTGCTAGTAGTTTTCACAAATTATAGGTAAGATACTACCTATCTGCGTTCAACAGCTACACCCATGAAGCTGTTGAAAAGTGAAAGAGGTAAATATGTTTTGAGAACAACAGTGATTGTGTTAATACATCTGTAAACGAATTGTATTACTGCAGTCACTCATCACAGTATATTTGCAGAGAAAACTACTACTGTCCCGAATTTCATCAGTAGAAGGCAACATTACCAGCACCAATTAAAAAAAACACATAATGATCCTGATTGACAGTCGTGAACTGACGTATAATGGATGTCTTATTTTGATATGTCAGCTGTCACAACGTTGTTTGTATTTATATTATAATTTTTAATGTTTTATTTTCTTTCTTGAAGTTTCGCTTCATATTGAGTTGATTGTTTCTTAAATATTTTAGATGTTTGACTTTTAGTATTATCCTATTAGCATTTTATTAATCTTTACAACACTTATTAATCTAAATCATGGCCTCCAGTCAGCAAATACCTGGTCTAGCCCAAAAGAAGGTGTTCAAAATTATTGTTTTAGGCGACTCCGGTGTAGGGAAGACATGCCTTACCTATCGCTTCTGTGAGGGACAATTTTTGGATATATCCGAAGCTACCATTGGTGTAGATTTTAGAGAGAGAACGATACGTATTGGAAATGAGGATATTAAGGTAATATTCACGTCTGTTATCACATAGGGTAATCGGAGACTTTGTCAGCTGTTTATATATTGGTGAATGCTCCACCTACCAATCTATATCGTACAATAGACGTGACAGTGAGGCGATCCGCCATCCCTCAGTCTAATTTGTTTTATTTTTGGTCCTTCCATCCTTACAGAATATAAAAAAATGACTATTCACAAGTGCTTATATCCAGTTTTGTTTAATACCGAATTTCTATTTTATTCTTAAAATTAATATATAACATGACATCCAAAATAGGAATATTTTAGTTGAGCTTTTGTTTGACTTTAATTTGTTTATAAAATTATTAATAAAATCTAAATATTTTTAAGTAGCTTTGTAAAGTCTTCTCAATGTTATTTTAAGTAAAATGTTATTATTTGGTAACTTCATTCAATGAATGTTGATTTTTTAAATAATTAATGTTGCTATTAATATGAATATTTATGCTAAAATTTTATAGTAGGTTAGATTCTATTTTCCTTATTTAGCTTCTCATTTGGGCCAAAAATTACTTGGTATTAGTTGTAAACAAAATTTATTAATTATTTCTAAATGTTATATACATTTTAGTTGCAACTGTGGGACACGGCCGGCCAGGAGAGATTTAGAAAGTCCATGGTCCAGCACTACTACAGGAATGTGCATGCTGTGGTCATAGTCTATGATGTTACAAAGCCTGAAACGTTTCATGTGAGTTTGTTATTAACTCATTTGTTAGAGTTGAATGTACACATCCTTGGTTTCATAGATAATATATCTAATTTATACACTTACTAAATTAGATATTGGCATATAAATTTATCTATACGTCATATATAAAGTTATCTTTCATTATTGTATTTCAGATATTTTTACCTCCTATGCTTCAAAACTTCCAATTTAAGCTATGTAGGTTTATATCTAGTAGGGTAAAAATAATAAGTTTTGAGTTTTTTTTTTTATAATTAACCCAGAAAAATTAACACAGTGCCATCTAGTCCCACTGTAAGCAAAGCTAGTCTTATGGGCACTAGACAATTGATATAAATACTTAGTTTTTTTTTAAATACATACATAATATACATAGAAAGCACCCAGACTGATACACAGACAGACTGAACAGTTACACTGATAAATAAAAACATGCACCATGCGAGAATTTGTACCTGCAATAATGAGAATAACCTGAGGCTGTCATACTTTGACTTTAAATTTACAAATAAATCCTATTTTTGTTCATATAAACCTATTTTCCATCTATAACCTAGTTACAGCTGTAGGCAAGTTTATTTATTGTTATTGTTTACCATACATTGGTATAGATTGAAGTTGTACATTGCAGTCAATAGTGAGTTGGATGGATGAGGTGGAGTCCCACGGGCTGATGAAGGCTCCCCGCGTCCTGGTGGGGAACAAGTGCGACTGTGGCACCGTAGAATCCCGACTCGCCACTACATACGCACAGCGGGCCGCCGACAAATATGGAATGCCGGTTAGTATTTATTTTATTAACCTCTAACACAGAAGGGATAAGTTTGCGTCTCTAGATTTGTCTATAACAGCGAAACTCCTAAACAAATGGATCATTTAGGATATTGTTCAGTTTGATTCAACTCTGACATGACTTTGTTTGGACTCTAGATTTTATCAACCATACTCTCAAACTTTCGCGTTTATAACATTAATAAGATTAATAAAAAGTTATAAATATTTATCTATTAACTCTGTATTGCACCAGAAGTGCTTTAGGAGCATTATATATTAATTTAAAGAGTAATAAGTACAAAAGGCGATCTTATTATAACTAAAGCAAACTAAATCAAAAGATATTCATTACTAAGAGTGTATACAATTTTCGACTTACTGGCTAGCAATTTTGTAGGAATCTTATTTTGGTTATGATATGGGCATGTTATATAAGTGAGGATTATATCTTAAAGAAAGTGAGAATATAATCCTCACTATAAGTGAGGATTATATCTTAAAGAAAGTATTAAACATGAACATGAATGGATGGAAAGAGAGGACGACAAAAAAAAAATGGATGGATTGTGTGAAAGATGATATCTATAAAAGGAGAGTAAGCTTAGACATGACGGCTGATAAAGATCAGTGGAAGATGAGATATTGCGCCGACCACAAATAATGGGACAAAGGTGTGGCAATGATGATATATTAGTCATCATTAATTAATCATAATATTTCCATATATTTTGCAGTTGTTCGAGACATCAGCTTTATTGGATTCTGAATGTGACAATGTGGAGTCTATATTTATGACGTTAGCTCACAAGCTATACTCCAATCAACCCTTAAGGGTAGTCAGTGTTGAGGTAAATTATATTTTAATATATGTATATATTGTATATATTTATATATAATATGTAAGTGTATGTAATTAGTGTATTTTTTTATTATAATTCTATTAGCCACATTCAAGTCTCTGCACATCCCAAAGGTTGACTGGGAGAGAATGCTACAGCACTAAGTCCACTTTTTGTACCAATTTTAGTGGTCAAAAAAGCAAATGAAAATAAATAAATTTATATAAATTATTAATTATTAAATTTAAATGATAAACAAGCTGACAAACCACCTGATGAAACATATTAAGTATCACCTACAAACATGATGGCCATTCCTTCCCAATGGGTCCTTTAGGAGCCCATAAATTATGTATCACTAATTTCAAGATATTTTGAACCTCCCCTGCCCTTATGCGTCCATTAATGATACTATTGTGGATACTTTCCAATTATACATTAGCAAATGTAGTAAAATCATGTCAAGAAATTTATTTATTTATTCTTTTGGACAAAAAATTACGCCTGATTGCATTCTGTACTAGTTAACCGAGGCGTTGATTAGAGTATCCTTCTACATCTTGTCACACAACGTCGTGCGTAATTTATAAATGGGGGTCATTCACTGTAACTTCACTGCCAGATTTCATCCTTCAAACCCTAGTACAGTTTGCTTTGAAAGTTGGCAACAGAATTATTAATAATATCTCTGGACAATTCACACAGCGTGGTCTAACCCCAAGCTAACCAGAACTTGAGTTATGGATACTAGACAACTTATATAAATACATAGATACATGGATCCAAATGTTTGAAATGAGGAATCGAATTGTTGTAAAGAACGCCGCTAAACCACAAGACCACTGAGGCCGTCCTATATCTGTAAATTAGGTCAAACATGTAACTTTATGCAAAGTGTCTCACTCTCTGGTATATCATATTTATAATTAAACAACTTTTAATATGAACTGTATGTTTCCAGGGTGAACAAAATTACAATGTGGTGACATTGAAACGACAGAAGAATAGGCACGGGAACGACAGCAGTTGTCTGTGTAGGTAAACATGTAGTATATAATGTACTAAACAATATATAAAAATCGCTGACGCGATTATAGCTGCAATGTACGATTTCTTTTGGTCTCGTCCAGTATTTGTCCGGGATAAATTACAAAACTTAACTAAGTTTTATGAAATTTGGTTCACTGTGTGGATCATAACCATGTGGATAATAGTTAGAGCAACTTATATGTGATCCTAAAGTTTTATGAATTATAATACATACTCATCTACACAGACAAATCCAACTCACAACCAACGTTGCTCTATTTATAAAACAGCTCCGGATTTAGATTATTTTGACCGGAGACAGACTAAGACCTAGTCAACCTAGGGTCGCGCCTGGGGCTCGTAATTTTTATAACTTACGCAAAGTATGTATCAAGACTGAAAAATAGGCCCGGAATTATAATGTTGCCGCTTTAGCCTTAGTCCGCCACTGCTTTTCACTAATAATTACGATATTCTTTTCGTGAAATCATACAAAAATAGGGATTGTTGTTACCTAAGTGAAAAGAAGGTTATCAGAGTCTTGAACTTCCCGAATAGCAGAACATTTTATAATATTAATCTAATCTTAAAGCTGAACCCGCGTGATATTTATAACCTATATGTTATTCTGATGTATGTGCTATATTACTGCAAAGTTTCATGAAAATCCGTTCAATAGTTTTTGTGTGAAAGAGTAACAAACATCCATCCATACTCATAAACTTCCCCATTTAGAATATTAATATTATTGCTCGTTTTTTTATGTTCCTACTATAACCCTCGAAAAGCCAAATAGTAACATAGGAATAGTTGACCTCTGTGATTTCAACATTTCAAATATTATTTAACAAGATTGTTAAAACTGTGTAGCATTTCTAAAGGTAATTTTAAAAATTATATATAGAAGTAAATACTAATATATACAGCATTTAGGTTAACTCTTTTAAATTATTTCTATTAAATTATATGGAAAATCTATGGTAAACTAATATTTACTGTACGTAAACAACGTAAAAATATTCGTATGTTAAGGCCAACTTCAAAAAGAACATGTTTGTTGTATTTACAAGAGTATTTATGTCATGTGATATTTTGCAAATTCTGAACTGATTTAGATTTCTTTTTACAAATAGTTTTTCATATTTGGTACAGCCACATTCATATATTATTTTAACGAGTTAAGAACGAGTCGTATCTTTTTGGAGGATACAAATTCTATTTTATATATCTACAGTAATATAAAAACCATATTATTTTAATAAAACAGTGTTATAAATTATATTTTCAATACTAGCTGGGCAATGCATAGCGTGGCTTTCAATGCGACTTGGTCCTGGTTTTTAGACAAAAGATGTATGATATGTCCGTTCTCATGATCCGATCTATCGTTACACCAAATTTCGTTAAGATCCGTTCAGCCGTTTAGTCGTGAAAAGGTAATAGACTTACAGATATTCAAATTTTACTTATATAAGGCACTTAATGAAAGTACCATTTATATAATCAATATCTATAATTTAAATCAATTTTACCTGTGTATTTTGTCACTTTCTTTCAAGTGAAGTGTATAGCTTTAAAGAAAGAAACGGTTTAATAGCCTATTCGAATTTTTCGGGCAACCAGTCGATGCCACTGTATCGTGGCGCGACATCATTCCATCCAAACACCTAGTCGACTAATTAGTATATTAAGAAAATTATATTGAATAGTGAATGTTAAAGACATAGAAAATGTAAATGTATTTTTATAATATTCTTGATCCTTCGAGCCGGATGTAAGAAGAAAGCAATGAAATTACCGATTAGAATGATACTAAATGAAATATAATTATTATTTTTCTATGTATTTAACAGTGATATTAATATTGTACATAATATGTATCATAATTAACGCATTCCCTCAAAATTATTTATTCAGAAACGGAATCATCTATTAAATTAATGTCAGAAGATTTATTATTTAACGCAGTTGCCAACAATTCTTAATAGTAACAGATTTAACCTCCTCACTATGCGGTTCAATGCAATAATTGTTTTTAAATGAGAATTGTTAGCAATGACTACTATTCATGCCCGTAGGTTTAAAGTTATAATATAATAATGATCATTGGATACATATAGTATATCTAATGGGTGTTTTGTTCAAATTATATAAGGCTCACATGGTTTAGTTTAGTTCTGGTACTCAAATTAGTAATAGTTTTTATTTGAAAGGTATTAAAATCGACAGGTTAGTGATACTACTCTATATGAACCATTTTATAATTGTATTTACAAACTAAAGTACACCTGCAAACTATAAATGGTTCATAGCTGCGTTGTACGATTTCTTTTGGTCTCATACAGTATTTTGCCACCGCTTGCCCATTTTCAATTATTTGTCGTTATTTCTCTATAGGATTTTGTCATTAGAGTTTTAAAAATAGAAGCCAATTAGCACTATTATTATTAGCGGCCTAATTGGAATAATGCTTTTTATTTCTCACCAGGCAGCGCTAGAGTTCAGAGATAGGTACTCCACCGCTGTACATATACTGGTGGTACATATCTGTTTTCTGGAAGAGACAATTTTCATGTGAATTTAAAATAAGAAATGTAATATATATACACAAGTAAGAAGCCAATTTATAAGATTTTTAAGTATAGGATTAATGTTAAGATGCCTATTTCTATGATACCAAAGACTTTGTAAATTTTAATGAGAATGGTATAGTTACTTCGCCAACATACTCCTCTTTATTGGGTCCACAGTAGATAGAATTTGAACCTTAGATACTATATGTATGTATTCAAATGCTATTTATTATAACATTCAAACGTAACAATTAAATAGTATATCCTAATTTTTACTATTGAAGTGTTTTGTCACTTTTGTTTAGTGCACAATAAAACTTGTACAAAATGATATCTCTTTCATATTAAGCATATAGTTCGAGAGACAAAACTCTCAGCGTGTGAAATAAGGTTTTACGCATAATTTTAATAAAAGTATTTTCACTACATAATAATAGTAAATATTTTGGGTATTGTAGTACTAAAACATAGGATTATATAGATGTTTATACAAAGCATTTTCTGAAGTGTTTCCTTATATTCTTCTTAGTGTAACTAAATGGGATTACCTCAAAAAATATTTTTGTTTAATAAATTATTTAATTTTTATATTGTAAGCTATGTAATATATAATTTAAAACATAATATACTTCTTCATTGTTTATCTTTGTATTTATTTTATTTGTACCTACACCGTACTGATGCAGGGATTCATTTTTATCATATAGTATATAGATATATCATATTATTGACAGCTAAGATAATCTCTATGAATCAGAATCCTAAAATTTAATCATAACAATATCAAATTATGATTAATGGACTAGCTTAAATAGCACAGAATACAAATAAACTGATTCGCATTTTCAATAATCCCAAATAAGACTCCGTGGCGCAACGGTAGCGCGTCTGACTCCAGATCAGAAGGTTGCGTGTTCAAATCACGTCGGGGTCAAATGTCGTTTCATTTTCCATACAAATGAAAAGTGGAATGTTTTTATTTTGTAATAAAGAGAAATTGTAGCATTCATTAAAACTTATGAATATAATAAGGTATTAATTTTTTAAAATATTAAATTTTTCGTAAGTATAGACAACAAAGTACCCAAATTTCCTTTTCAATATTGTTTTAGTAATGAAATCAAGCTATGGGAATGCTAAATATACTATTTAATAATTCTTAGTCTTATTGCTAATAACAGTTATTGTTACAACTAAAAAATATAGTTCAAAACTACACCAAGTTAATTTATTATATATATAGTCATTGAAAATTATTGTCTCGCTAAACTTCTTTATTTGCCGTCTCCTACTGGAGGTTGGTTGATCATGGAGATCTTAATTTTGCCACCACTGTTCTGAACAGGGATCTGGTGCTAATGCCGAACCACTAACTTGAGTGATTTAGACATGATGTGCAGCGCTGACTGGTCTTCGGTGGCCCTGGATTTTTCCTTCAATTATTAATTGCAAAAAGACCATGTTTTCTACTGCCACGCTTCCCAATTACATTATGAATTATTTCTATAAAATATAATTTTGCAACTAAACAGAAAATATATAAGTAATATAGAGGAAGAGTAATTCTCACTATAAAATCATATCTAAACTGAAGTAATACAGAGTGTATTTTGCTACAGTATTGTCTAACATTTAAATATAATAGAAATATCGAATTTCAATTTTATATTCACATTTAGTTCTATTTGTACACTAGCTGTGCCCGCGGTTTCAACCGTATGAAAATTATAGCCATAGGCTATAGTTTTCTTTTTAATTCTGATTATTCTCATTTTGTTATTAGATTATAGATTCTACTTTGTCATTCTGATGTATGAGCTATACTACTGTAATTTCATCAAAATCCGTTCAAGAGTTTTTGAGTATAACAGTAATAAACATCCATACATCCATATTCACAAACTTTTGCGTTACTAATAGCACAGATAACATAATATTCTAATAGTTAGTAAGATCAGTCCATAACACATCATTTCAGAGTTGTCTAACATTTAGCTGTTTAGTGCTCCGTCTTACGTCCGATAGTCGAGGGTTCGATTCCTCGTACGGTACATACATTTGCATACATCAGTATCATTGTTGGTATTAGTTTGAGTGATTAGCTTGGGACTATATGACGCTGTATGCGTTAAAAAATGATTTTATTTCTATATATAGCCCACTAGTTCCGAAATAGCATATATAATAAGTTGTTGGTATTTAGTGGAGATGAAATAATTGCATATAGACATTTTAAAAAGAAAACTTTATTGGTTAATTAATTTCTAACATTATTCTATGTGAGTCATATTGAAATCGTGGAAAAGCCGACGAGATTGTTAGGGCAATATTTATATTTAAAACTTATAATTTGTAACTACATATATATAAGAAAACAACACACAAAAATTGCACATATTAATTTACAATACAATTTAAACAAAATTTAATAAACTAATATTATTGACTAAATTCACAATCTCCGCTTTTGGGCATAACCTTATGTTTGTATATTAACAAACGTATACACATATATATTACATAGAGAAAATATGCGTATTGAGTAAACACACAGCCTTTACTCGTGTCTCTAGGACTAACAATTATAGTCCAGGAGACGCCGTCGACAAATCACTGCTTACCACGTTTTATATTCTATCACGTTTTATATTTATTGACTTTAATTACTTCCATTTTCATGTCAATAGTACGATGACGTCACGTGACTATAGACTGCACACTACCTCGGGCAGTGTAAATCCAAGTCCGATAGTTTATCCAAATAATAAAAATTGAAGATCTACTATCAACATTATAATTAATGCAATAAGATTCCTATTTGTAAAACAAAACAAAAATTGCAACAGATATATATTCTTTTTAAATAGTAATATTTATTATGTTCAAAGATACTTACATTTTAATACACACATGTATGAGAGCTTATGAGTACAAATTTTTCGTGTAGAAATAGGGAGCGTAAATATATATTCTCATAAATACGATGCCACATCTTACAAAAAGGTGTTGTGAATTAATAACGCATCTTTCAAAAACTATTCCCATGATTTTAGGGACATAAATAACAAACGTGCATTGCAATAGTTATCCATGCGCGTGATTTTCATTTAATGTTAGACATAGACACCTATGTATGTGTACGTATATAAGTATGCAATGTAAATAAATTGGCTTTAAAAAAAAAGAGAAATTCAGTTGAGTTTCTTGCCAGTTCTTCTCAATGGAATCTCTGTACTGAATTGAACGGTAGGGATAAAATTGACGTTCATAAGCGACTAAAATGTCTTAAATGAATAAATTATTTTTGATTTGATTAAATAAATTACTTCACACCAATTTAAATATGTTTTATATACTACAATATACACATTGCAGTTGGCTTCTAGTGTCCGACAGAAAAGAGTTTACACGCCAAACTGAATTTCAGTTCATGTTGCAGTTATGGAGGAAAATTTTCGGACTACAACCGAAATTACTCTTGTGCGTAAAATTATATGGTTCTAAACGCATTATTTTTATAATTTGTTATATATATAAAAATTTATAGCACAATTTTTATACGAATAACTTAATCAGTCTTGATTATCAATCGATAATCACCGCATTAAAGTAATTACAACCAACAAATATAATTTTGGTTACAATTTAGGCTAGTTTATACTTTTATAAAAAAAAATCATCTATTCAAAGTGCAATACACAAGTTTCTTGCTAATTCCTCTTGTGATGAACTCCGAATGAGTGGTATATTCAAAAATATGACTATTCAAAAGTGCTACAAGCACTTTTGAATAGTCATATCTTTGATTTTGAATTTATTTGAATTTCTATTTACTGTCAATACATCCGAATCTCGAAATTTCGGTCAGACATTAGTTGCTGCTAAATAAGCCCGCCTGCGGGCTCTCTGTAAGTTAGTACTTAGTTCTTTTTATAGAATTATATAGCTTTATATATTAGAGAGTAATATCACTTAAGAAGGACAGACAAAAATTTAATTGTAAGATTGCGCGTAAACAGCATGTTAATGACAAAATTAATGTTAATAATGACACACCTTAACAAATTAAATGTTTCAATTTTTTAAAACTACATTCTAAAATTTTAATTAAATGGGCAACACTGCTAGTATTTTGGATATACTGCCTCGATGTGCCTTAAATTACGATCAAGATCGTTTAAAAAAAGAATGAAATTAAATCTAAAAATCATTTACAGCTCGTCCTGCATGAATACCTGAATGTAAGTTGTTATTCAGGTACCTATATCAGCTGCTTTTATAATAACTTGGATTTTTTTATAACATTTGGTATCTCAACCGGTTTATCTACATCTCCTTCTACCTATACCACTTTTTTATATACAATATATTAACACATATTTTTTGGCCGTATGATTGATAGAGTATAAAAACAAAAACAATAGGCTCTTCAGTATTCTGGGACAGATAAAAAAAGTCATGGAACTTTCTAGTTTATACATAATGGGATTTTTACTATGATAATATTATTTAAGAGTTCCAATTACACGTGCACAATTGTTAACCGTGAAAATGTTTAAACCATCCTTTCCTAGATTATATCCATCAACTATTGAATTAACTACAAACATTAATTCCCAGTTAACCCTCCGTGGAATTCTATCCATACATAAATAAGTGGGCTGCGATGACGCCGAGTATTGTCATAGCTATGACTGTAACTGTCTACGTACATCGCACAAACGATGCAAAGCTTTACATAAAAGTTATTCTAATTACGAGAATAAGTATCAAGTTAAATTTTAATAAATCAAATACTAAAGACAGAAAAATATTCAAATATGATATACCTATATACATTGATTAAGTGACCAATAATAATTTTTAATATCAAATCAGAGACGCATTTTTTTTAATCATAAGAGGCCATCTGTAAATTTCGTCACACGTTGAAGAGTAATTATTGTATTCACATAACAGATATATTTTATTCAATGGACATTACGTGATTCGGAATATAAAAGCAGGATGTTTTAACCTTTATTATAATTAAAGAAAATCGTATTACCTAATTCCAATTATGAGATTTCGTAATGGATTTTTAACGAAATCTCCTTTAATTAAATATTCCTGTTTTCGGACTTCTTTAGGTATCTGTATCACGTAATAATAAATAGAATTTTGTATCTTTGTATAGATTTCTAGCTGCCAAATAATAGCAAAAGATATTAGATTACAATACATAAACATACATGTGTATGTATAATATAAACTTGATTTATATTCCATTTTGTTTATTGACATTATACTGAGTATAATGCAAGACTATTGACTTAATTTTCAATCTACAAACATTTTGATAGAATCTATGGGTCATTTGAATAACTGCATAACTTCGTGCAATATCTACACATTGGAACGGTTGGTTTGCTCTAGACAATTTCGATCCAATAATATTGGATTCCGCTGTTTAATGTTTTTTTTAATTTATACTCTTCTATTATGTAATATTTACATATTAATTTGGAACATTGTTATCGATTTATTCGATATATCGATAACAATGTTAGTCCAGTATAACTGGATTGTATTGAAATCGATATTGTAATTACACCTTCAGAATAGACATTCCGATTACTAGATTACACCTTGAAGTACAGTAAAATCATCTTGCGGGTACAGAGCCCCGATATTTCGATTTAATAGTCAACCATTTTCCATTTTATACTCGTATGGAGAGAGCATGTAAATACTGAGTGCGATCACATGTTGATCCAGGGCGGTGTGACCAGCATGCTGGTGTCGACTGCTCGCGCTATGTGCTCGTGTAGACCGTGACTCAGCCACAGCATGCGAAGTTTCTCGTACCGTTCCGGACACAGGTGGAGTGGGTTTCCTCGCCGCAGACCCTGAATACCAAGACATGTATGAGTATATATTAATACCAGATGGTACGATTTTCTCGTTCTTTTTTTATGATTACTACTTGACTACTGGGATAACAGGTCGAGTATTGTACATCTCTTTATATGTGGTGCTTATTTTTTCTTTTATATTTTCCACGAAACGTATGCTTCGGTACATGAGACCTAAACTTACGGTCCTAAGAGCAAGTAAGTGTAACATATTATTATAGTTTATAGAGTTTGCAAGAGTATCTTCCTCCGGGCGGCCAGCAGCAGTCGGCCGCGCCCACGAGGTCCGCGTCGTCGGTACCTGGTCGTGCTCGTGCTCGTGACGTCGGTGCCTGGTCGTGCTCGTGCTCGTGACGTCGGTACCTGGTCGTGCTCGTGCTCGTGACGTCGGTACCTAGTCGTGCCCGTGCTCGTGACGCCGGTACCTGGTCGGTCTCTCCGTACGAGTCGAGGTAGGGCGCGGGCAGCATGGCGCCGCGCGCGGGGGCGGCCAGCAGCATGAGCTCGCACTCGCGCACGCGCAGGCCCGCGCCGGAACACGCCCGCGCCCGCGCCGTGACGCCGGTACCTGGTCGGTCTCTCCGTACGAGTCAGGGCGCGCGCATGGCGCCGCGCGGCCCGCGCACGCGCAGGAACACCGCGCCGCGCCCACGTGCTCGTGACGCCGGTACCTGGTCGGTCTCTCCGTACGAGTCGAGGTAGGGCGCGGGCAGCATGGCGCCGCGCGCGGGGCGGCCAGCAGCATGAGCTCGCACTCGCGCACGCGCAGGAACACGCCCGCGCCGGCGCCGCACTGCAGCGCGTGGCCCACGCCCGCGCCCACGTGCTCGTGACGCCGGTACCTGGTCGGTCTCTCCGTACGAGTCGAGGTATGGCGCCGCGCGGCGCGGGCGCGGCCCGCGCCGGGCGCGCGCGCGGCAGGGGCGGCCAGCAGCATGTACCTGGCTCGAGGTAGGGCGCGGGCAGCATGGCGCCGCGCGCACGCGCAGGAACTCGCGCACGCGCGCCCGCGCCGGCGCGCGCCCACGTGCAGCGCTGGTCGGTCTCTCCACGCGCACCGCGCGCCCACGTGCTCGTGACGCCGGTACCTGGTCGGTCTCTCCGTACGAGTCGAGGTAGGGCGCGGGCAGCATGGCGCCGCGCGCGGGGGCGGCCAGCAGCATGAGCTCGCACTCGCGCACGCGCAGGAACACGCCCGCGCCGGCGCCGCACTGCAGCGCGTGGCCCACGCCCGCGCCCACGTGCTCGTGACGCCGGTACCTGGTCGGTCTCTCCGTACGAGTCGAGGTAGGGCGCGGGCAGCATGGCGCCGCGCGCGGGGGCGGCCAGCAGCATGAGCTCGCACTCGCGCACGCGCAGGAACACGCCCGCGCCGGCGCCGCACTGCAGCGCGTGGCCCACGCCCGCGCCCACGTGCTCGTGACGCCGGTACCTGGTCGGTCTCTCCGTACGAGTCGAGGTAGGGCGCGGGCAGCCTGGCGCCGCGCGCGGGGGCGGCCAGCAGCATGAGCTCGCACTCGCGCACGCGCAGGAACACGCCCGCGCCGGCGCCGCACTGCAGCGCGTGGCCCACGCCCGCGCCCACGTGCTCGGTGCCGCCTGCGCCGCCGCCGCGACCGCTCTGCGCACACCACACCACACGTACATCACTACACTACACCTCCACGATAAGCAAACGCACGGAGAGTAGACCTTGCTCCATTCTCTGTCACTTTGCTTATCCGCATGGGACACCTATATCCCGACTCTGTTTTCATTTTTGATGCCCGCGATAAAAATACGTTCGATGTAAGCGTGATCACCTTGTCATTATCCAATATAAAAATAGCTACAGCAAACAGAATTCTAACAGCAGTTTCATAAGCATTTCACAAAAAGAAATTCAAATAAAATCTATAACTGCACTCAAATATACATAGCTCAATATTAAATGAAAAATATAATAATTTTATATATCACAAAAAATATATAATTATCTTTCTTAAAAAAAAATCTTACCTTGCGTATTTCAATTTGGCAACAATAACTCTGCGAGCACAATATTTTACTGCACACTAAACACATAGTTGGATATTTGCTGTCCTCCTTCTCCGAATTAGGGCAAGAGAACTCCGACACTACATTCATCAACTCCGAGAAGTCATCCGGCAGGGGGATCAGTCTTGGCGGCTCACTGGGTTCCGTCACTACTCGAGCTGGTATCTCTCCTTTGAACCAATCGTTCGACAACGCCGCCCATTCCCTCGCTTTCTTACTAGCTGCCGGAGTATCCATCAGCTCCTTGAACGTCATAGGCAAGTCTAAATATCCGCACATAACTTCCCAGGTATCACCATCGACAGCCATCAATTCTGTAGGTGGGTTTATATCGCTTAGGAAGTGATATAAAAGACAACAGCATCTCATGAATGTATGGCATTGACTTTTAATCTTCTGCCACACCTCTTCCGCGTTTAGTCCTTCCTCTAAGTTGCCTCTGCGTAATTCTTTCATGAGCGGCAGCAAATTTTCTAGATCTGGTCTTGGACGATATTCATTCCCATCTTCCATTGGCTCGCTCTTACACGAGGCTACATTCAGGACAATGAGAGCTCTGGTTATGTTGGCCCTGAGCGCCTGTAAGGTCATCTGCCTCGCCAGGTGTGTAGGTCTCGCAGGGCCGGCCTGCTTGGAGAAGAGAGAGGGCGCGGTCATGACCAGGGCGACGAGGGTTCCGAAGGGTTCGTGGGTCAGCGGTGAGGAGTTCTCGAGCGTGTGAAGAGTGCTGAGGGCGTGATGAGCCAGGTGTTTCGGTGACGGCCAGATGGATGGGATTGTCGCGACGAGACGCACGAGTGTTTGTAGAGCGTCTCGCAGCCGGGCCGGAAGTTCAGCTAATAGTGGTCGCCGTTCGGCTTGTAATACCGCGTTCGTGCTGAGTACTGTGTAGGAAGTGGCGCGGTATAGAGCTGCAATCGACATCATGCCACCAGATTCCATCATACCACACAGGCTAGGTAGAAGCTGTAAACAAATAATGGAGGGTATATACAAGCAGATAAAATTTATGTTATATGCAATTATTTGGCCCACCAGATGGTAAGTGGTAACCATCAAATGTATACACACAGCAACAGTCACATCTCGTAATGTGACATCTATGGTTCCTTTCTCACTTTACCATACTGAAAGATTACGGGGTCTTGACTCCGTAACCGGTAATTTTACTCCCTTATCTCAGCCAGCATTAGTTAGGCTGAAGCAGATGATATTATAGAAAGTTACTTTGTTTTACTAATAAATTATTCCCATTAAAAAAATTGTACATATAATCATAAGATAATAATTGGTTTTTTGAAAAATTGCCTCTGTCTTTGTGTCAACTAATTTTACAAATGGCTAATCTATTTTAATGCAGATCTTATTTATGTATTGTACCAAGCTTCCACTAACATCCAAGCTTAGTCCTGTTCTAAACAAATTGATTAACCTATTGTTACCTGAAACACCACACTCAAATAACAATCACAGCTAGTAAATAAACATATCTTGACTTACATGTGCAAAATGCTCTATAAGCGACTTCATTATTTCGTTATATTCCGGTATATCCTCGTTGAAGTGCACCAAGAATTCCGGCGGCAAGAGATTCTCCGAGTGAGTGGACACGTAGACCTCCGACTCATCAGCACTGTCTCCATCCTCCATGTCAGATGACATCGCTCCCACACTCCTAGCTCGTGCCTGGCACAGCATGTCTTCACAGAACTCTGTGCAGATGTGGACAGCTTCTGAGCAGACTTGGTGCTTGAGCTTGAGTATCAGATTGACGGATTCTCTGTAGGTGTCCTCTGTGAGTGGTGGCGGTGATCCGGTGGGGAGGCTTGGAGCTGGAAGGATGGGTAGAGTTGTGTTGCAGAGACGTTCACATAGAGGGCACAAGTATTCTCGCTTCTCGACGTCGAACGCAGCTGGTTGACGAAGTCGGTATAGTCTGGAACATATATATATATATTATATTTAAACACAATACAACATTTTTCTAGAATAAATAAATTAAATTGAATTTGCATTTTTATATATGATATATATAATAAACTATATATGTATTTCTATTTTTTTTTTAACTAATAATTGTGCTTTGTGCTAACAATCACAAAACATTCATTGTTATATTATGTAGGTATATTTATCAAACCGTACATAAATATTTTTATAGAGTTAATTATTGATCGTCACATTTATTGTATATATTATTTTCGTACTGTTATATGTTAAAAAGACTTATTGTCTGTGTAACGCAAAAAGTATGTTTGTGTACTCTTAGATGTATATCTATTTGTATTGATTTTGTTATACTTAAATAAAGATGAATTAAAATAAAAAAAAATCACAAAACAAGCAGCAAAAAAGTACAAAGTGATAAATACGAATGAAGATTGTTCACTTAATAGTTCACAAAAGCATAGTAAAATTATTTAAAGAATATTTAGGTTTATGTCTATACAGGGTTATGTCTATTCATGAACGTAGAAAACTATCCCAAAGAAGCGAATTGGATAATTAAAATTAAAAAAAACCTTTCACGAACTGCATCAATTTAGTATAATAAGTTCAAAATTCTTGTAAGTATTCTACGTCTGCGCTAACGATATACGCTCGCAAAGCACCAGAGGAGGATGGTAGCAAAGCTTTAGCCAGAAGTCAGAGCAGTCTGCCTATATTGGCGAATTCACTATTAAGTAACCATAATGACCCGCGTCCTCTGCCCTTGAAAAGAATGGTTCGTGGTAATAGTTTGTAGGTATTGATACACACCTGCGGTTCTCTTTGTCGAGGACGCCGTCGACGTACTTGCGCCAGCAGCGCGCGTGCAGCGCGTGGCCACACGACGACACGTGCGGCTGCGGGCCCAGGCCGGCCTGCAGGTACGCCGCGCCCGCACTGGCGCCGCTACTGGCGCCGCTACTGGCGCCGCTACTGGCGCCGCTACTGGCGCCAGTGCCGTCCGACACCCCCCGCCGGCGACTCAGCACGCTCGACTGTTGCACGAACGCCACCAGCACCAATGGCTCCGCTTTGATGTCCACGCGAGCCTGTCGTAGTACAAATGGTATTATTATAATGCGAAGTAGGTATATAGGTTCAAATGTAGTGGCAATGAAGGGAAATAAAATTAGTACATTGAGTTTTTTGTTAATTTAATTATAATATTATAATTCCATTTTTAGTTCCACAGATTTCATTTACGAAAGACACGTTCAAGATTTATAAATAAACAATAATTCTATAATTATGTACTTTATCTATAGTTAATAACATCTGCCATTTTGCAATGATAAATAATAATATCACGCACGATGGAAGGACGAGGGAATGCACAAGTTGGATGATGGATTCGCTCGGGAGAGTGTACGAGTAAAGGCACCTAATATGAGATAGAAGTTGATCGTTGTCATTAGATAGGCCGTATGCTTGTATACCACCATTCTTTTTATTCTATATAGATGTACACAGGTCCCATACCTGGTTTGACGATAGAATTAAATAAAAATTGTCTTCATGGACAACTTTACATAGTGTAAAACAAAGTCGCTGCTGCTGTATAGTCGCTTTTTTTTTTTAAATTACGCAACGGACTTTAATTCAGTTTTCAAGAATAATTAGTGCTTCAAGAGGAAGGTTTATATGTATAATACATGCATGTTAGAGTAAAGGACAAGCCTATAAATTCAAAGATTTGTGAGATTGTAAGATACATTCGTGCGAATATGAATGTATCTTACAATCTCACAAATTTTCAGAACCGGTCGCTAGTTAACTTTAAAGCACTTTTGATTAGACATTGTTCATTCTACCGTCCATTCAAAAAGAATGGATAAGAAAGAGAATATAATAGCAGTGACAGTACCTCTTCTTGGCACATGATGCAGACTCGCGGTGGCTCGGGCACTCCTCCGCCCCACACGCCCAGCGCCGCGCCACAGTACAACGGGCGCAGGTCTTGTTCCTCCGCCGTTACCTATACAAACCAGAAACCTTGTTAGTTTGATAAACAATATATTATTTAGTTTTAAATGCACTTTGCAATGTACAGATTGTCTGTGGTGAGTTTCTTAATTTCTGCTATTGAAATAATAATACAACCTGAGTTGCATTACGATCATCATCAATTTTTCAGTCTGGACAACGACTACTGCTAAAAAAGGCCTGACCCAAAATTCTCCATGACGATTGGTCTACTTGAGTTGGATGTATGACTAAAATGTCCTACTTTAATGAATTTACTTAAATAATCAATATTATATATATAGTACTATAGTTATCTTTATCTCAACTATTTGTATTTCTTGTGTAAAATAAACTTTTTCTACTACATTATTTTCTGTTCCAACTTTTTTTAGTTTAAAAGGTATTTTGGTATTTTTCAGTTAAATGAGAATCATAAACAAAAAACATAAGACAGATCAAAATATGATCTATTTTATATGATTCTCATTTAATTTATTATTTAATTATTCATATGAATCTTTTACGCTCATCTAGTTTGTATACCTGTATACTTTTTATCGCAATTCGAGTATGAATATTGCATACCTCAGTGTTAGTTTCCTCGAACAGAGTGGAGTTGTTCGATATGAAGTTGTTCATTTGCGTCTTCATCTGCGCCATTAGCTTGGCACGCCGTTCTGCAGCTAACTTCGCGCGACGTGTCTTCTCCGCTTCTAAAAAACGGTACATTCATATTAAAATTCGATTAAAAAACCAACAGATTTTTAACACAAGTTGTAATATATTTTGAAAATACATAAACTAAACAACATCCTATATCCAGCAGTGAACTACAATGGTCTAATGAGGATAATCATGACTTTTTCTTACTGACTTTAAAGAACTTATTAACACTTTTGTACCATCCGATAGCTTTTTTGTTGTTACAATTACATAAAAAAAGAGTATCGCGATTAATTGAAAATCGAATTAGGGTGTCCTTATTTAGAATGGGATAGATTATTATATTTTTTTACATATTACAACATTGGCAAACAAGTCTATCTGATGCTAAATGGTTGCCATAAGCTATGGTCGTCGTGCCAAAGACACCATGGAGTGTCTAGTGCGCGTTGCCGACCTTTAAGAAACCTTAATAAACCCTTCTACCCTTAACATTTCCTTACCCGCAGTTTCTTCAGCGGCTGGCTTCTCTTGTGGATCGGTCTCCATATTCTCACCGTCGCCGATGTGCTCGTCAGTTTGTCCCAAAAGTTTCCTATAATCAGTAACACAGTTTTTATCAGAGAATAACTCCGTAAATTGAATGAATTGTATATATTTAAATTAGATATATTATATGAACACAGTAAAATTTTTCATAATTGTATATTTATTATATTACATATTTTTTAACTATAAGACAATCATAGCAGCAGATAGTATGATGTCTTACTGATTTCCTATCTCACGATGTATGTCTAACACATTTTGGTCCTTCGATCCGGATCAACTAGAGACCTATACTTTGTAACGTACTGTGTGTATACCTCAGTTGGATCCTTCGAACCGGATTAACTAGAGACTTATGGTTCGTTTAACTTATAGATGTAGTGCGTGTACCTCATCTTGGCGAGCAGCCACTTGGCGAGGTGGCGGTGCGCGTCGACCCGGGGGCTGGCCGCGAGCTGCTGCAGCAGCGACAGCAGCCCGCTGCGGGCCGCGCTCTCCGCGAACGCCAGGAACTCGTAGTCGCCGCTCTCCTCGTCACGCATCGCATACCCCATCAGGTGCAAGGCCTGCAATCAAGTTAACACATCTTTTAAAATATCCAAAATATCCTGAGTAATAATAAACTACAATAATTAATACATGGGAATGGGATATCGACTATTGCATCATGGTATTATATACGGTATATTACAGATTGGGAATCCATCGGTCCTTCCTCTTCATCGGTAAAAGAAAAGGAGCGTGTACCTTGTGCACCTGCGTCTCCGAGAAGGAGCGCGCGCGCAGGTCCAGCGCTCGCTGCAGCACGGTGCGCAGCACGTGCAGCGCGGCGTCGCACTGCAGCACGCTGCCCAGCAGTAAGTAGGGAGGAGCACGTACCTTGTGCACCTGCGTCTCCGAGAAGGAGCGCGCGCGCAGGTCCAGCGCTCGCTGCAGCACGGTGCGCAGCACGTGCAGCGCGGCGTCGCACTGCAGCACGCTGCCCAGCAGTAAGTAGGGAGGAGCACGTACCTTGTGCACCTGCGTCTCCGAGAAGGAGCGCGCGCGCAGGTCCAGCGCTCGCTGCAGCACGGTGCGCAGCACGTGCAGCGCGGCGTCGCACTGCAGCACGCTGCCCAGCAGTAAGTAGGGAGGAGCACGTACCTTGTGCACCTGCGTCTCCGAGAAGGAGCGCGCGCGCAGGTCCAGCGCTCGCTGCAGCACGGTGCGCAGCACGTGCAGCGCGGCGTCGCACTGCAGCACGCTGCCCAGCAGTAAGTAGGGAGGAGCACGTACCTTGTGCACCTGCGTCTCCGAGAAGGAGCGCGCGCGCAGGTCCAGCGCTCGCTGCAGCACGGTGCGCAGCACGTGCAGCGCGGCGTCGCACTGCAGCACGCTGCCCAGCAGTAAGTAGGGAGGAGCACGTACCTTGTGCACCTGCGTCTCCGAGAAGGAGCGCGCGCGCAGGTCCAGCGCTCGCTGCAGCACGGTGCGCAGCACGTGCAGCGCGGCGTCGCACTGCAGCACGCTGCCCAGCAGTAAGTAGGGAGGAGCACGTACCTTGTGCACCTGCGTCTCCGAGAAGGAGCGCGCGCGCAGGTCCAGCGCTCGCTGCAGCACGGTGCGCAGCACGTGCAGCGCGGCGTCGCACTGCAGCACGCTGCCCAGCAGGCGGAACGGCGCCGCCAGCCGCGGCAGCCGTGGCGGCGGACAGCACTCCGGAAGGCCTGCACCAGACGCAACATTCGACCGGTGAACAATCAGAGCGGTCGTCAGTGGAGCGGCACACGCCATTTGCGCGACACGGCTATGCGCCGACTGCCAGCGCAACGCGATCACCTCGGTTATATTTATAAACTCGATGCGAGCAGAAGCGCACGCGTATTGCCATCGCACTCACTATTCTATTTTTAGATAGTACTCTAATCACATTTTACCCACACTACATTAGAAAGGGGCTAAACTAGACTAGAATTAACCTGGCAACTATAACTATGTTGATATTCATCCATTAAAAAAAAGAACAAACATATCTGAAAGTAATTATTCACTCTCTTTTAGCCGCCGTTATTGAATGATATAAAATTTTAAGATGCAAATGTGGTAAACATTGATATTTTGCTTTGAATTAGCCATACTAGAAGTATATCAGTTGAGAAGAAAGCCAGAAACACAACGGATTCCTTTTCTCAACCATTAATACAAAAACATTAACTGACCAGCAGCCTTCCTCCTGTTTCGTTGCTCCTCTTCACTACGCGAGAGTTCCTCGCGTGTGTAGTGGTAGAAGAACGTATCGTACTCGTCGTAGAGGTGCGGCTTCAGTTTGTACACGCCCCGGTTGTTGCCGCTGCTCGGTTTAACGAAGTCCGCCACTTCGTGGATAACTGCTTCTAAGCCAGTCTCATGTAGCTGGTCTTCTGGCAGTGATCTAGACAAATATTATAATGGTAAATAATATTTATTTACTAAGGACGACAATCTAAATATTACGAATTAAATTAAAATAAGTCTGCTTTAATGTATTGGCAGTCCTCTTCCCTATAATAAAAGGATAATAAACTGATATGTTCTATAAAAAAAATGTAACAAATAAAATTAATAAAATTCTACTGTCATAAGTAAACAGAATTCTTCTTAGTCGAAAATCGTAAGTACGTAATTTTTTAAAATATAACATCATCATTACATACCATAAAACTAAGCCGCTGTCGCTGTCTGGCCGTCCCTATGTATGATTAAATCTTTAAAACTACGCAACGGATTTTGAAGCGGTTTTTTTTAATAGATAGAGTGATTCAAGAGGAAGGTTTATATATATATATATAAAATGTATGTACACCCGTACGAAGCCTGGGCGTAGCTAGTATGAAATAACTAGTATAAATATATGTACATTGTAATAAGCACATGTACATTCTAATTACTCCATTTCTTTTATTTTCAGTGGTTAGTTTTAAATTTTAGTAACTGCACACACAGAAATATTTGTTACCTGTTAAGTTCCGAATGCGGCATGGGTTTGACGCAGAGCATTTGTATGATCTCCTTTTTGGTGCGGTCTTCGTTGGTGACCTCCCCTACACCGGGCACGTAGCGGGAACCAACCACTGTTTGCAGCAAAAACACGAAACTATGTACTTACATCACTCACTGGTGGGCACTTTGGTTTAATATTAACTGTATCGACTATAGATATTGAAATATTATTAGAGACATACCGGGGTAAATTCATAAAAACATGTTCAAAATTTCACAAAACATGAGTAATAAAGTTTATATTTTATATATAAAATTCTCGTGTCACAGTTTTCGTTCCCATACTCCTCCGAAACGGCTTGACCGATTCTCATGAAATTTTGTGAGCGTATTGAGTAGGTCTGAGAATCGGCCAACATCTACTTTTCATCCCCCAAATTGTTAGGGGTAGTCCACCCCAAAATTTTTTATTTTTATTTTTTAGACAAAATATTTAGTTTCTATTTTTTTATGATACAACATACAAAAATACATACAATCCTAAATTTTCACCCTTCTATCATCAACCCCTACTTTTTTATAGCGTTATTAATTTATATGGCAAAACAACGTTTGCCGGGACAGCTAGTATTATATATGAACATAAAATTAAAACAGGAAAACATAAAATAATTCGTAATGAATTTAAATTATTATTATTAATCCCACTACAATAAACATATGTGAGATAAATGTTCAGAGCGGAAACTTGACTACAGTTACGACCTTCTCTAATGTTGGTCTGATTCCGATCGTTATTTTTTTTTGTACTACTTAGGTGGGAAATAAGCAGTTGGAAGGATATCTGACTACTCACTTAATACACTACAAGAAACTTTAAATATCTAATAAAAAACTCTATAACTACTTACCTGTGATGAGCAGACCGAGGAACTCCTCGACCATGCTGATGGTATACCGGAGCGCGTCGTCCTCTATGCTCCGCTGTTCAAAGTCCGGCGACGCCCAATCCAACAGGTTGAATTTGTTCAGCATGTGTATTATGAACTCGTTGCTCTCGATTAGGGATGCACCGATCTAAATATCACAATATATACAGGGTTAGTTAGAAAGGTTATACTAAGCCACTAGCACTGTAACATATTACTAATAGCTAATTAATTCCGCGTTATATTATTTCTGAAAACTATTTTTTTTCCATATAAAAATAAATATGTTTTATTTATATACAAAGAATCGGCAACCCTATTCTTTGGTATTCAATCAAAAACAGTCGACGTTGTTGATTAATAGAATGATAAATACGGGGCGTAAATAAAAAAGTACGCCTCCGATTTTCATTCATAAAAACTATCAATATTATCTATTTTCCTATTATAATAGGGCTAAAGACAGCTAATGTTAGGGCTGTATCTTTTGTTGTTATAATAATCTCAGAACAAGTCACACAGCGCCAACAAGGCCCAAGTTAAGCTAGCTAAAGCTTATGTTATGGGTACTAAATCATTACATAGTATAAAACAAAGTCGCTATCGCTGTCTGTCCGTCCCTATGTATGCTTAAATCTTTAAAACTACGTAACGAATTTTGAAGCGGTTTTTTTAATAGATAGAGTGATTCAAAAGGAAGGTTTACATGTATAGTACATATAGTACATGTACACCCGGGCGAAGCCGGGGCGAGTAACTAGTAACTGATACAAATAGATCGATTTTTTTCGTATATACATACATATTATACATAGAAAACACTCAGATCGATATAAACAATCATACTCAAAAATACAAATGTTTGCGTCGTGCGAGGAATCGACCCGCGACCATCGGAAGTAAGGCGGTGTGCTAAATCGCTATACTACCGAGGACATCTATCTATTAAGTTTTTTAATCTGTCATTAGTCTATCCTAGTTAAGAACGACTTATCTATGTACCTGTAGCATGACAACATCCCGGTCCAGCATCTCTGAGCGGCACTTGACATTGTGGTAGAAGTACAGCTGGTTGAGGATTGCGAACCCGTTGCGTCGCCACATGCCAGCGTGCACCTGCGCTATCATCGCCATCGTCTGCAGCACCGGCTCTGGAATTCAATGGGCCAATATATCAACTATACAACTGTAAACTAGGCTTATTACTTCATAAACGGTTACAGAAATTATTTTTTACGTACTCTTCTGAAAGGGCTGGCTGTTTTTTTTTAAATTTTATATGCATAGTCAGTATGTCTGAGAATCGGCTACCACCTATCTATTTATCATATCCATTAGGGAAAGGGGTTGTCCACCCCTAAAATATTATTTAATTTTTGGACGTTTTATTTATTATTTTTTTAATATGTGGCATTTAAAATACATACAAATCCTAAATTTTCTCCGTTCTAGCATCAACCCCTATTTTTTAATAGCGCTTTTAATTTATATGGCAAAAGAGCGTTTGCGGGATCAGCTAGTATATTATAAAATAATATACTCATATAAAATATTGTTTTTATCATAATAAAAGAACGTCACTAAACTATCATAGTTTTAGTACCTATATGAAATGTAAACTAACCAATGAGCTCCTCCGGCGTCGGTTTAGGTTTCTCGGGGCGGTCGAACTCCTTTGAATGGTAAGAGAGTTTGTGCTGATAGAGCTGCAGATGGAGGCCGGCGATGAACCGCGACAGCGGACGGTGGATCGACACCGGCTGATGCGACACATCGTATGGGATCACTGATGCGCTCTGATTTCCCAGCTCTGTGGATAACGGTAACATTACTCTGTGCTTGTATGTATAATATTTATTCCGATATAAAGGTTTGTTTATGGTTTTTAAAATAAAAATTTGCACTGTGAATTCGATTTAAGGATGTTTTACAACCTTAAGTCGACTAGCTATACTATGTGCGCTGTAACATGGTGCAGGAGACAGTTATTAATTTAAAACTTAACAGTTGCTACATTTAAATTAATACAGTTATTAATGCTTTAATATATTTCGAATGTGGTACAGCCGAAATACTAAGTCATAATTTGTAAATCGCGGCAAGTTTTAAGAGTGAAACGAAACGTAAATCAAACCGTCATCCGCACCATGCTACAGCGCACATGGATAGAGCGCGAGTCGTATATCCTGCGTCCTGCGTACTGCGTCCTGCGTACTGCGTACTACGCGTCCTGCGTACTGTACCTCTGAGCACGGGCGGCGGATGCGCGGCAGCATCAGCCAGGCGCCGCAGCGCGAGTCTGTAGGCGGAGATGGCGAGCCCGCGCTCGGCCGCGCTCCACTCGAGCGCCAGCGTGATGCTGTGCGCCAGCTTCACGTGCAGGTTGAACGCAGACTCCCACTCCGGCTCGTACTCCATGTGTTGGCCCACCTTACATACATTTATATTTATAAATAAAACAACATATTTGCATAATATTTTCTTTTTATTATACGCTATATTTAATTTGTATAGCAAAGAACGGACACACAACCAGTAAATAACCTAGGTAAATCTATTTCTAAAATTATATTCAGTAATATTATATGTTATGAAGATGTATGAATATTCTAATCTAATCTAGGAACAAGTTAGTATGTAGTTTTAACCAATATTTTAATAGCTACTATATTAAACTAATATTTTTTTTTACATTAATTTGTAGAATGGTATTACACAATCAACCTCTTTTCCTAGAGCTAATGTACACAGAGTACTAACTGTTACCCTACTCACAACTTCTTCTTAATAAATAGTTGCTGATACTGCCTGTTATCCGGCAAATAGACATAATTTCGTATTTATAACAATAATATAGACACTTACCTGTCGTATAACTGAGTCCATCCCTTGCATCATGACAAGCAGGTTCAGCAGCAGCGAGAGTCCGTGCATGAATCCTCTACGGAGGTCGTCATCGAAGCTGGTAGGTACAGAGCTGAGGAGGTACTTCACGTCGTACAGGATGAACTGGGCGCGCTTGAAGCCCGTCGGGACGTTCCTGTCGAACTCCAAACGACCCTGGATACGAACAATTGATATGTACAGACAAATAGATAATTTATCTATTTTTATAATAAGTAATTTAAAACACGGCTTCAGCGTGTACACTCACCCTACTATTACAGCGCCTGTTGCACTCGCTGATGAACGTGTTGAGCACGATGAAGAGCGCGTCGTGCTTCGCTATGAGGTAGTGAGCGAGCGTGGGCGTCGTATACAACTGTACCGACAGCGACGAGATCGAGAACGTGTGGTCGTGGTCGTCGCGGATGAAGTCCTTCAGTATCGAACCTGGACAAGGACAATTTTTTTTATTTCTTCAATTAATCCTTACTAATATTATATTATATACAAAAGAAACTGTATCTATTTGTCACGCTTTCACGCGAAAATTATTGAAACTATTTCAATGACATTTGGTACACAGATCTTGTAGACGTTGAGAAAAGACACAAACTACTTTTTAATGCGAAAGAAAGACGTTAAATTTTAAATGCGTATATGCGTCAAATACATGGTGTATTTGACGCACGTGCGCATATATACTCTTTTGTTTATTGTTAAAGTCTATGGTCTAAATGAGAACAGATAAATACGGTTAGTCTTTAATATTACTTGTCTAGATTCTTACTGGATGTTAAATATATGATGGTTTAATTTATACCACTAGGCGACCAAATATTTTTTTTTAAAACATATACTCACCATAATTCTTAGTAAACAATATGGCCATCTCTCGCTTGGTGGTGTAGTCCATGAGCGTGGTGGCTATGAGCAAGCGATGCCAAGCGGTCCTGGCCGCCTTCCACATGCGGAAGTCGTTCTGCATGACGGCGGCAGCGACACCGCCGCCGTGCAGCGCGGTGCTGGCGCCCCAGGCCTCCGCCCCCAACGCCACCTGACTGGTGGCCAGCCGCAGGCTCGGCTCCGGGCTCACGAACATTTGTAACCTGCCGCCGCATCCACATTACACACCAATGTCATAACAAATTACAAAGATTCTCAATACAATAGTGTTTTGTCATAAGAACTTCCAGAGACCACGGCCTCAGTAAGATCTTAATTTCCTCAATAGCATTATTTCATTGCACATTAAAAAATAACGTGATTGAATTGAGTATTCCTTTTAATGACGGCCTCGATGGTCTAGCGGCTTAGCACAACGCTTTACTTTCGATTACTCGCACGGTGCAAACATTTGTATTCATGAGAACGATTTTTTTGTATCGATCGGTCTTGGTGTTTTTTATGTACATTACGTAATACATACGTACAAATAGAAAATATTTCATCAGTTACCAGGACTTGTGACCAGATAACTTGATGACATAAGTCAACACTTACTTTTACAAATGTATCTCTAAATGCCCAGCCAAATCTGGTAGAAGCCTGCTAGTGTAGATATATTTGTATATCTACAGAACCGATTTTCAAGATTCTTTTTAAACGAGAGCTTTAAGATTGACCTTTCATCGAACACAATTTCAATTATCATTCTTTGCATATAGAGATAAAAGTGAATATGTTTATCTATAGTTTCTGAGCACCCAAGACATTATGACGAAAGTTGAGAAAACTCACTCGTCTCACTTATTCCGGACTTCGTACGATGTTTTTCGTTTGAAGAATGAGAGGCAATAAAATTAAGAATAAAAAAGAAAAATCAAGAACGAACAGTGACTCACCAGTGCAGCAGCTTCATGGCGAAGGTCTGGTGTGCGATGACGTGCGCGTGCATGACGAGCACCTTCAGGCTGGGCCCATGCCGCGACGTGTACCTTTCGAACATCGCCGTGCAGCTGACCAATATGCACGTGTTATCCATCCTCCACAGTATATATATCGCAAACTCAACATTCAACTGCGCTATAGACGACGTTGGTCTAGCGGTTTAGCATACCACCTTACTTTTGATAGTCGCGGGTTCGATTCTCGATACAAACATTTGTAGTCCTTATAATGTGGTCAGGGTGTTTTCTATGTAAATTACGTAGTTGTTTTACAAAAACAAAAAAAATTGAGTGCATCTATCAGTTGTTTAGTAGCCATTACACATATTAGGAAAAATAGACTTTAAAGCTTCAATTTTTAAAGTCGACTTCTCAAAATATACAATATTTGAGTAACAGCAGTTTAGAATTAAGCGTGCGATATATCTCATTTCATTCATATATATTTTGTGGGAGCAAAATATTTCGTTTTTATATCCTTTTGTAATTCTGTCTACTTTCAACTGTTCAGTGGGATAGGCACAGAGAAACGAGGGTCGTCGGTTCCATCCTTACATACAACTTTTACTTAATTCACACAAAGATTATTAATGCAGAACTGTGTCTGCCAGTGTTACCTTACAGGACGAAATGGCTTAACATATCTTAATGAAATTTTACTTGAAAATAGATTGTCATGAAAATGGTTAGGGACTATTTTATTAATATTATAAACGCGAAAGTTTGTCAGTATGGATGGATGTTTGTTACTCTTTCACGCAAAAACTACTTTATGGATTTTGATGAAACTTTACAGTAACATAGCTTATGCATCTGTGTAATATATTTTTTATGGATTTTATATATTGAAATTTTTTATAAAAAAAAAAAAGCTGACGAATCACACAGGTAACTATGTTTCTATACATATTTATACAAATGGCGTTCTATAGATTTATTTATTATTATTGTTTCATTATTTCCATCAACAGGATGTCAGTTCTACGGAAACGACGGACCAAATCTATACATATAATAAAGAACTGTGATTAACCGCAATTTGTACATAAAATATGTATTAAAAAACTATTAGTCAACGTAATAGAACACAAAACCAATTGCTTTTGTGCGCACTCAGAAACGGCATAACCGATTCTGGTAGGTATTTCACTAATGTATTGTACTAAACTTCCGTAATATAACACAAAAACAATTACTTTTGTTCGCACTCAGAAACGGTTTAACCGATTCGGGTGCGGTTTTCACTTATCTATTGAACTAAACTTCTATTTTTTTACATATTTATCGGTTTGCAAAGAAATAGTTAAACTAGTGGCAAATAAAATGACAACATCGATATAATACTGATCAATGTCGAACTTACGACTCTATGTCGTTCTTGAGCTTGTCGCAGACCTGGAACGAGTTGCACTTGACGAGGGCACGACCCTCGCGGTCTATGAGCGTCACCAGTTCAACTGAGTCGCGGTGGTTGCATTTCATTACTCGCGCCAGTGTCGTTATAACCTGGAAATAAAGTTCTATTTTCAATATGATTTTTATGTTTACCACTTAAAGGTTTCAAAAGGAATGACTCCTTGACTGCAATATTTATGAATTTAATTAACTTATAATGTATACAAAAAATTTCCTTATTTTAATAAAGTTCTATTTTCAATGATTTTTATGTTTACCACTTAAAGGTTTCAAAAGGAATGACTCCTTGACTGCAATATTTATGAATTTAATTAACTTATAATGTATACAAAAAATTTCCTTATTTTTTCTTGTAGACAGCTACAAGAGCAATTGTTATATAATGTTCGGAAAACATTAAAAATGATTGAATTATTTTTAAAAATTCATAATGTTACAATATAAAATACTTGAAGCTAAAAATTTTGTATCCCGTTTTACGTAAATCAAATAATACACTCAGGTTGCATTAAAAATTAATTTAAATAATAAATACAAACATTAGCGCACACTTGAAAAACGCGGGAATGCTTCGCGCATTCCGCGTCTTTCAAGTGTGCGCTTTAGCGCCATTTTTAATAATTAATTATGACTTCTAAATGGCGGACATCTGTATATGGACTAAAAACAAAATTATACATTTATTGATAAATTATAAATCTTAAATGTAACTTGAAAATAAGAACAGATTTAAAAAAATAAATAAACGAAAGTGAAAGTGAATTGTACGTATGCGTAAACACGCGCAAAAGAGTGAACGAGCTAAATAGTTAAATGCAATCCCTCACTATAGCGCACGCTGGGTTTCGCGCGCTTAATCTCGCCCGTGAAATAATGTGTCGTATAAAGGCATCTAATGATTGACATGCATGATGACTAGTACTGACGTGTGCGAAGATTTAGAACTTGCCTGTTCAAACGTGTGCGTCTCGTCGTTATAAAGTACGGTGCAATAACAATCCGGCAGGTCCAGTATCTGCAGGAGATCTCTTTCAGCATCTTTCAATCTGAAAAAAATAAGAAAAATTTATTGATTCCACCAGAAAAATACTTTTCGTATATTTTTTATGTGATTGAAATGACAAACATGCGACGGCTCATGGTAGGTACGCTAACGGTGACGGTAGGTGGTAACGTAACCATCGGCGTACAGCACTACATACAGAGTATTATCATGTGACGCCTGGGATATCGCCTTAAACAGCTAATAGCAGCTTACATAGCTGCTTGCCGGCAGAAATAGATGAAACTGAAGTGCATGGTGTTATGGAAATGACTTACAAAGTCTACCATGGTAGAACCTGTTTTATATATTTATCTTTATGTATGTCCGTTCCGAAGGATTATATTTACACTTTAACTTCTGAGAACTACCGTAGCGAGTAGGTACTATGGCTATATCGTGAGACGACGTGTACCACGGCAAGGCAGTTCTCACCACGTAAGGTTCGTCCATTAATCTCGTGATATTTTAACCCCTTCCCTACCCAGGTGAAGTACATGAAGTTTTAGACTAACCGCTCCCTCTACCCTATCCTATCATATATGATAACAACACATGCAATAATTTTTACGAATATCTTTTTATATTTGCGCCTTAACATCTTTGTCCAACGCGATTCCCCCCGAGAAACCACCTTAATAAATTTCTGCTAACTGAGCTGACCTCATGCTCATCTTATCATCCTCCACTGGTGCCCCGCCAGCGTAAACCGTTAGCACAAACGGGTGCACCATTCCATTATCATACATTAAAAAAATACTTTGTACAGAATTACAATCCACACCGCTCGCTACCCATGCTTCCCACTATCTGCTGGAGATCTTAAGACTAAAACAATACTCATCGTAAGGAAATTTCAAACAAAACCCTAATGTGTTGAGGTAATTTTCAAGACACAGACGTAGATGTAATATAACCGACGTAGATGTATGTATACAAATAGCACATTTAGAAAAAATAGAAATACCCGTTATATACATCTCTTCCATTGTGATATTTTGCGATATTACAGCCCTCTTTCTCCTTCCTTATGCTACGTTTACATTCAGCCGCTTCCCCTGCCACTCGCGCTGCCGGAAATATTGCCGAGCGACAATTGAGCGAGAGGGCTGAATGTAAAAACACGCTGCCACTCGTGCTGCTAGTCCTATGACTCGCGCACGATAAACCGACAATCGAGGGAGCGCCGGGCAGCGCGAGTGGCAGCGCCAATGGCAAAGGGAGTGTTTCTGTTATTTAAATATTTATATGTTATTTTATTTATTTATATAACTTTAATGCATGTAGTACAAAAGGTAATAGTACATTTGGCGGACTTAACACCATGCGGTATTTTCATCCAGTCCAGGTAGTGTCTAAGTATACTTGTTGTTGAGCCTTATGTGTTTATCGAACAACTCTTACATGTAAATACAATTGTGACATATGATATTCGATATACAGATTATAAATACTATTTACCTTAGATCGTTCGGCAAGCCGGGTGCATGATCTTGTGTGAGCAGCCTCAGGCAGTAATTGAGACAGACCGACGCGACGATCTTCATACGCTCCACTACTTCCGGAGTTACATTGGTATTCGTCTCCTCTTCTGAACCTTTCTGTAACATGCACAATATTAACATATTAACATGGAAATGTACAAGTGAACATTAGACCAAATAACTTTGTTAATAAATCTTATATATAAAATTCTCGTGTCACAGTTTTCGTTCCCATACTCCACTGAAACGGCTTGACCTATTCTCATGAAATTTTGTGAGCTTATTGAGTAGGTCTGAGAATCGGCCAACATTTATTTTTCATCCCCCTAAATGTTAGGGGTAGTCCACCCCTATTTTTTTTTTATTTTAAGGCAAAACAATGTTTGCCCGGACAGCTAGTATGTTATATTTATTATCAATCCAACGACCTCAGTAGTCTAGCGGTTTAACACACCCCTTTACTTGACGGCCTCGGTGGTCTAAGGTCCCGATGGTCGTGGGTTCGATTCCTCGCACGGCACAAACATTTGTATTCATGTGTATGATTGTTTGTACCGGTTTGGGTGTTTTCTATGTATAACATGTCTGTAATTATGAAATAAAGTAGTAATGTTTTTGCAAAACTTTTTTTTATTATATGCGTAGTAACTTTGAAAAATCCACTCTAAAGTTTTAGCGTTAAGGTTTAATTTAAAAATTATGATATTTGTGGGTTTATACCATTTTTGTTGTAATAAGAGTGCGATATGCACATTTGATAAAATTAATATTAAAACGTTGTACTTACAGCGTGTCGCTCGCAGAACGGGTCCCGCTTCCAGGCCTCCGTGTCGCCGCAGTCGCAGCACCCGCCGCCGCCCGATTGGCCCATTTTGTACTTGTGGTGTCGGTGCGGAGACACCTTGAAACACTCCACGCACAGCACGCACGTGTTGTCCATGCCTGCGTACATACGTGCACGTGTTTATTTGAAATGTTTTGTAACAGATTTCGAAGGGTATATGTGTGTGTTAAAATTAATAATTTGTGAGATTTTTCAAAAACCCAGTCAGAAGTCAGTTAGTACTTCAATAAAATGGTTGGGTGTCTAACACTCTTTAAACGAAGTCAATTTGGCCATAAACATTGGCCACTGACCGCACTCCCTGCCAGCTGTAAACGGACTCGCCCTGCTTCAACATTTTCCCGCAGAGCTTGGGGGGGCCGGGGCAATTGCGTAAGTACAAAGAACAGAGAACGAAAGAATGAAGTGATGTTGACAAGTAAACTTTGGCCACTGACCGCACTTCTTGCAGCTGTTGGCGGGCTTGCCCTGTTTGAACAACGTCCTACAGAGCGTGGAAAATGCGCAAGTGCAGAGAACCGAAAACGAAAAAACGAAGTGAAGTTGACAAGTAAACTTTGGCCACTGACCACACTTCCTGCAGCTGTAGACGAGCTCGCCCTGCTTGAACATTTTTCCGCAGAGAGTGGGAAAATGCGCAAGTGCAGAGAACCGAGAACGAAAGAACGAAGTGAAGTTGACAAGTAAACTTTGGCCACTGACCACACCCCTTGCAACTGTAGGCGGGCTCGCCCTGTTTGAACAACGTCCTACAGAGCGTGGAAAATGCGCAAGTGCAGAGAACCGAAAACGAAAAAACGAAGTGAAGTTGACAAGTAAACTTTGGCCACTGACCACACTTCCTGCAGCTGTAGACGAGCTCGCCCTGCTTGAACATTTTTCCGCAGAGAGTGGGAAAATGCGCAAGTGCAGAGAACCGAGAACGAAAGAACGAAGTGAAGTTGACAAGTAAACTTTGGCCACTGACCACACCCCTTGCAACTGTAGGCGGGCTCGCCCTGTTTGAACATTTTTCCGCAGAGAGTGGGAAAATGCGCAAGTGCAGAGAACCGAGAACGAAAGAACGAAGTGAAGTTGACAAGTAAACTTTGGCCACTGACCACACTCCCTGAAGCTGTAGACGAGCTCGCCCTGCTTGAACATTTTTCCGCAGAGCGTGGGAAAATGCGCAAGTGCAGAGAACAGAGAACGAAAGAACGAAGCGAAGTTGACAAGTAAACTTTGGCCACTGACCGCACTCCCCTGCAGCTGTAGACGGACTCGCCCTGTTTGAACAATGTCCCGCACAGCGTGGAAAGATGCGCAAGTGCAGAGAACAGAGAACGAAAGAACGAAGCGAAGTTGACAAGTAAACTTTGGCCACTGACCGCACTCCCTGCAGCTGTAGGCGGGCTCGCCCTGTTTGAACACTTTCCCGCAGAGCGTGGAGCGGCGCGGAGGCGCTGGCAGCGTGCCCGCACTCGTGTTCCACACGAACTGCTCCAGCGGGTGGAACAACAGCTGTGCCGCCAGCTCCTCGTCGAATGACCAATCTGGAAATTACGTATTAAATACATGTATAAACTAGCTTACCCGTGCTCACTTTGTTGGACTGTAAACATTTTTGCTTCTCAATTATCGACCGCCGAAACTTATTAAAATTATTAAACTACTATTGGTGGTAGAAGTAGAAACTACGAGTTGGTGGTAGAAAGGTTAAAATTTAGGGTTGAATCTATTTTTTAACGTAGAATCATAAAAAAAGGTTTTTGGAACTTTTTGGACTACCCTAATCACTTAGGTGTAAGACAAATAGTTTGTGTACTATTCTCAGGTCTACTGCATTTTTACTCAAAATATCAACAATCAGACACGATGTTTCGGAGTTTCAATAGAAACACTTTGACACGGGAATTTTATATAAAAGAAAAGATACACTAGCTACTCTGTTGTTTTTTAGATAAAATATTGTCTTGATGTCGAATTTCAATAAATTCAATCCATTAGTTTATTCATGAAAATGTAGCAAAAGACAATCAGACTTACTATCAAAATTCATCATACTCATGAATACAAATATTTGCATCGTGCGAGGAATCGAACCCGCGACCATCAAAAGCAAAGGGGTGTGCTAAACCGCTAGACCACCCAGGCCGTCAACATATATTGTAACAAATATAATAATAAGTAGGACAGTTCAAATAACTTACCTAAGCATGTCCTGTTGGGCTGCGGGGAGTATATCCTCGGCACAGTGACCCGCCAGTGTTCGTGGAAGTGTGCGGGGGACAGCATCCCTTCTGCCATCTTGGCCCGCCATTGCTCAACAACAGCGTCGGCGCGCGCAGGCAGCGTAAACCTGCCCGGGATCGTGCCGTTTTCACTCATTATTCACCGTTTCTTGTGGCTAACGTCACCAGTACAGTTTGGGAAACACTGAACTTTGTATCATAATTTAGTTTGATATCCTAGCATACAATGTTTTTCATTTTAAATGAACACTCATTGTTAAAATCACCTTTTATAAAGCGAATATACCGGATTATGTAGAGATATTTTAGTTTCCACTTATACTCATTTACTTACTAATTGTATTGTATTTTAACTTTTCAAAGAATGAGGTAGGATTAGATAAGTAGATATATATACACTAGCAATGAGCTATGACCCCGCAAACGCTGTTATGCCATATTAAATTCGCAATTAACAATATAGGGGTTGGTTATAGAACGGTAAAAATTTAAGGTTGTGTGTATTTTATAAATGCCAAATTATAAAAAAAATAAAAAATAATAGGGGTGGATAACCATTATCAATTAGAGGTATGAAAAAGTAATACCTAAATGGACAAAAAATATTAGAGTTAAGTACCACTCAAGGGTTACATAAGCAGAGGCAGACAAATTAAAAGATGGGGAGACGATATTCAGTCCAGAGAAAATAAAAAAAAATAAACGATGGACAACCTTTACCAATTAGGAGTATGAAAAATAGATAGAGCCCATTCTCAGACCTACTGAACATGCATATAAAATTTCAATAAATCGGAGAAGTATGATAACTAAAATTGAGACACGAGAATTTTAATTATATTTTATATATATAGGTTTACTTTACATCGGGCTTACTTCAGATAAAACTGATTACTTAGATTAGGAAAGTAAAGCATTACACTTCTATATCTATATATACAAAGAGGTAAAATATCTTTCTTTGTTTTTAAAGGGTTATTCAAGGGCGTTGCTAAGTACAAGTACTTCAGCCGAGTGTCTGAGTGTTTGAAGAACAAAAATAACAATGAATTTAAAATCTAAAGAGAATTCAAAGTTATACCTATTAATTAATTTTATGTATTTCCACGCCGTGATGGGTTGATCCACGTTGATCAGTACTATGGGCCATTTTAATGGTTTGTTATAGTTTTTTTAGGAATGATAATAAAATGGCCTCCGCCTGTTCTAACGGTATATGCTGGCGAAGCACCAGGGAAGGATGATAAGAAGAGTATGAAGTTAGATCAGTTTGCCCACCGAATTTACCAGAAATTAACCACGATGGCTTCAGATTGGGACCGCGTGGTATGACGACCGACCTGACATGGTACGTTGCTAGCAATGGGGATATTATCTTTATTATTAACAATTCTCTACCCATCACTTTGTCATAGTAACATTACTTAGACATATTGAACATAATAAATATATTTTATAGACATTTATTTTGACAAAATTATAAGATATTATGTAAGTAGGATATTTCACTAATTATACTACTGTTAAGGACTAAGTTTCTGGAAAAATAAAGCGATACCGTAACTCCGGCATCGGTAGCTCGTAGTTACACCATGTGGTTTTGTTTAGTGAAAAATCTTACACCTACGCTCTACCTGCGGTGGATATACTTTCTTTGTGAAGACTTTTTCCCTATGTTAAAAAGAAAATGTGAAAAATTAAAATATTGTCAAATTTTAATTAATCGATTGTTAGACTAAAAAAAATATTTTTTTTTAGATAGTATGTCACATCACCGTTTACGATAGTAACAAATATGACGTACACATAATAATAGATATGTGTGTTTTGGTGATAAAGTAATATTTCTTATCATACAAATATACGAGATAAGAATGTGCTCGATCCTGTCCATCCCATTCAGGCACTTATCAAAGGTTATCAAAACACTAGCTAATTAAATATACAATACAATACATTCAAATCACATTCCGTCCTTGTATATAACAATTTGTGTCACTTCATCTTATTAATTTGGCAATAATTCGATCATTAGTGATCATTAACGACAATCATTAATAACTTCACCACTTTAGATATAAATTGATGAATTTTTAATGAAAAACATATTCCACATCACAAATGAACATATAATTAAGAAATAATTAGAAATTATCGATAAGTTACAAAAATACGCGACATGAATGTTTCGTACGAAAAAAAAACAACTTGCTTGCTCTATGGTAAACAATACACTGAACATACGTTTGGCATGACGCCACTGTGCAGTACTCAATCTATTTTTATATAAAAAAATCATCGAGTAAAGATCAAATGTACGTATTTGAATTTTAGATTTTTTGGTTTATGCCCTTATACACGTTCAGATTTTCTTAGACAAATACCTACGGTATATAATGAATATTCAGATAAAGTTTTATTATATAAATCACAAATAATGATGAAATATAAATTTAAGGTCACGTTAATGAAATAATTGGAAGTTTTATTTCATTATTTGGAATTTTATATGAGGATTTAGATAATTTAAAATAAATCAAATGTATTAATACCATAAATAGATACCTAGACATCCATACTCATATTACGAAAGCTTATGTCTCTATCTGTGAATTTGCTACCTTTTCGCGGCTTAGCGGCTAAGCTGATTTAAATGAAATTTGACATAAAAATTGTATCACAATGGAATAGGACATTCAGAAGGACGGATACACTTTAGCATTTACAACATTAATAAGGACATGGCTAATTTGTCTATGGTTCTATTTAAGTACATCTATTTAAAAATACATCGATAAATGTTTTATAATGTCGCGTGGTCCACACGTCATTCGCTGATAATTCGATAACGATCGATGTTGTAGATTGGTTATTTTTATAATTGACTATACATAAATTATATCACTTATTCAATTTCCCCTTCACTAAACCTCCTCCCTCTGCTTTGAAATAGAAATTATTTATTTTTGAAATATAGGTACAGTGATAAGATGTTATATAAGAATATTATTGATAAGCAATATTTACCATATCAGGCATGCAAATAATATGAAAGTATTCGTATTTTTAGTGTCCAAGAATATTTTTTGTCAAATAATCTTGGACACTAAAAATTATTAAGCGACGGCCAATTTGCCAATATTTCAGTTTCTGTTTAAACAGTGTAAGAGATCTCAGTTGCCCAATATTTTTTGGAAGCTTCTCACAGATGATCATATTTTAATAGACTTTCGTGTTTTTATACTAAAATATGATTTCATAAGATATAAGACCCAAAGGACACCATCCTTTGGGTCTCAGTGATGTCATAGATTTTATGTTTTTTTACATAAATTTTGTGACTCTACCAACCCCTTGTTACGGAATGTCACACTGTCGACCCCCCTAAAGAGTGACGTAATTTATGGACCCCCTATCTGTACCACAATGACGGCCTGAGTGGAGGTTCGAACCCCTGGCGGTGCCCTCAGATCTAGTCCTAAAACTAGTCCTAGTCCTTCCTAACGAAGGACATGAGTTTGCCTCTGGAATTTTTCACATTCAAAAGATTATTCCTATTAAACATGTATATAGGTTATATTATAATAACATTGTGCGGTAGATTGTAATAAAAATACAGCTATGACTAACATAAGAGGCTGAAAGTGTCCTATATGAATAAATTATTTTTGAGTTGGAGTTTTGAATTCAAACCGGACGAAATCAGGACGTCGCACTAGTTCTTGATTAAACATACGATTTACAATATTAAGACTGACAAACAACGCCTGTTACAATTATATAGGTTAAACACATTCTCTTATTTCATTAAAGTCCGGACAGCGGAATGTTTATATTTAATTTCTTTGATAATTTAGTATCGAACAGCCTAGATTTAATATATCGTATCGATTCATTTAAAATTTCGGTCAAGAACGTGAGAGAACATGCCAGAAATTGGCTTCGTTCATATAACAACGGCTTGGAAGAAGGTGGACGTGAGTTTGAGTTTGATCTTGGTGACTAATGTAATTATGACTAAATTAGCGTGTCTACACTAATTTAATCCTAATTTTAACGACTTTCCACCACTAGTGTGACGTCAAATAATTTAAAATTCGAACTATATTCAACAGCCTTTGCACGACACGTTCTTTCGCGCGCAATTAGCAGCGCGCGCAATCGTGAGTGATTGCATTGAACTATTTTTTGTGATCAATTTTCGCGCGAAATTGCGCGTTTAAGTCATTTCACTTTTTTTTTAGAATTATTTTTATTTTCCAGAACCCGTTTAAGACTTATATATTTCCCATAATTCTATAATTAGGTATGTATAATAGTATTATTATTAATAATATAATTAGGTCAAAGGCTATATTTTATCGCAAAAAGTAACGTGGAAATAGGAGATGGAAGTTTGTTCAGACAGAGTCGCAAATAACAGCATGTATAATCATAAAAGTAAAATACAAAATGAAATGCTGGTCATGATAAACCCATTAACAATGAAATGATGTTTCAAATGCATTACAAGTTACCTACAGAAGAATTTAAATAACTTGTATTTCGGCTCACACTTTGCACACTCAGACAGTTTTATTCGCAACATTTGTGTCTTGTTCTAGTTGGAGGCGAATTTGCACTCAATGCCCGGGAAATAACGTACAATATGGTGCGACGTGGAGAACGGATGTCGGCGGTACGCCAGAGCTATGATGACACGGCAAGAGTCATCATCACCTCTTCCCTAATGAAGACCTTGCTGGTGACATTGAACTCTTTATGCAGAGTTATAATTACACCGTATCGTAACATTTATCAAATTATTTACTATGATTTCATTTCCATTTCGAACCTCAATAATAATACAAGCTGTCGGCCACCACTTCGTCTGCGAGAAATTCCATCTCCTATTTAAGTTCCTACTGGGTTATTTTTTGAGACAAAAGATACATATATGTTTTAGTAATATACATAACATATCTAATTACCGATGCATCTCACCGAACGTTCTCCATATAAAACGCCGCTGTATGATTTTTTCTACATTAATTAAATAAACAAGTTTCACATTAGTCAAAATTTTCTATAACAAGTATGTTTTAGATTTAGACATAACCGAAAATCT